ACTAAAAATGTTTAGATTGATAAACAATATTTTATGCAAATCTGAAGCCTTCCAACACTGCGCTATTAATAACTACCTTCACATATATTCTGATTAGTTTGTCAGTGTAATTATGCTTTTCCTTTAAGGTCGTGTTATCAGTATAAAGATCACGTATAAACACACTGTCCTACTCGTAGAACCATTCTAAGCATAGATTAACATGTATGTAATTATTGAAGTGATATAACAAAATAAAAACAGTAAAGAAAGCAATTCAATCTTGAGGTTTGTGGGAATTTATTTATTGACTTTAAGTAGGTATTTATCATAGAGAACCATTGAAAGCCTGGAAGCACTGGAGTGCTGTTTCACCCTGCTATAGGACTCCTCAGCAGTGAGCACCCATGATTCCGTCAGGGATCGAGCCCAGGACCTTCAAGTTCTGTGGCCAGCATGTTACCATTGAGCCACTGAGTCGGAATTCGGTGGTCCGTATTTCTCACTTCTATTAGTTCACGATATACCCCAACCTCCATCCAATACTGTCATTGAGTAACTGTCTTCATGTTCGAATTGGCTGGCTCCCTGGTCACGACTTCTCATTGGAACTTCGGGAATAATTACCTCTCGAAGCTAGTCACTAATGAGCACTAGACTAATTCAATTTTGAGGTTCGCGGAGATTTATTGATCGATTTCAGGTTGGTACTCACCATGACTGACGTAATAAAAACCGTTCTCAGAGGAGTGTTCATCACGGAGAAATATCAGTTAACGACTCATTGAAAACGGGTGGACAGTAGACAGCTGGAACATACTACCATAGGACTTCTCAGCTAGGCACATTAATTGGACCGCCAGGAGATGAGTAAAGTAGGACTCAAATACTTGGTGTAAATCCACTCAATGACTGATAATTTTGCAACTTCTTTCAACTTTCTTTCAAAATATCAATTTGACCATCTCAGATAGCTGCAGTTTGGCAGGCTTGTATTAATACTGATTAATGAATAATTGAAGGTGAAATAAAAATTTGAGCCACAGTAAAATTCGAACCAGCCACTAACGAGTTTCCTACCCCTCTCTAATTTAGAATGATCTGGATTGGGAAGAAAAATCTTGAGTTGGCAGGTAATGTGAATTAGATGAACGGATAATGATGATGAATGTACCACGAAAACGCATAGTAGTCAAGTAAGACTCCTGGTGATTGAAGTGATACTAAGATCTGGTCTGCAATCGTTGGGTCTTTTATTTAAGTTGGTAGAGCACAGGACCAGGAACCGGGAGGTATATATATTCATGTTTTTGGGTGAATTGACTTTTCTTCTCGGAGGTAATAAACTCTCCCATCCAGTTCAATCTCTTCCTCTATTTCATCCAGGGTTGAAGTCGGTAGATCTTGTGTACAAAGTTAGCTGTCAGTCAAGGGTGCGTATTATTTTTTCTCGGTATATACAACATGCACACGAAACCTTTACAAGTCTGTACGATAAACTTGATGTGATTTATAAACTGTATTCATTTCCAGTAGAAACATAAATTGACCAGTATTCTGTAAATTCAAAGAGAATATTATTGTAGGTAGTTTTCAATCAACCGACCAGACAGATAGACAAAATCAACGTAAAACCTCTCACATAAGTGGATCGGTTCAATTTGCTACACTTTACAGTAGTAAACAAAGAATAGGTGGATAGAAAAGGAGTGATATCACAGTAGATAAAGTAATATGAGAGAAGAAACAATTTGAAGATCAAGGTTAGTGTAAATAGTCCAGCTTCAGAAGACATCAAATAGTGAATATATCTGTGCCATTGTGACCGATTTTTAACCATGTCACTAGAAGTCTGCAATCATACATTTCTATCTTCTCGGAGACGCCAGTTAGGCAGTCTACCTCTCCCGATACGGGTCAGACCACCAATCAGCGACTTCATGAACTGTTCGCAGGTCTTGGTCTGGCCACGCTAAACCCTTTTCCAACATGATCCAACTTCCCCTACAATTGTAAGTCGAGGTGAATGGTGGCTCAGCAATACTCAGTACATGTCTAAGTCATCTCGGTCGACCAGGATGGTCTGGACCGACCCGAGCCACTTTTTATATGATAGGTATTTCGAAACTTACTGTATTTTATTTTGCGTGGGCTGAGGAAATCAACTACAAAAGATGAACAGACAACTTCCATACGAACGATAAATTGAAGGATAGTTTCCAAGTAAATATAGAATAAATATCAGAATAAACTGAATATGTCAGCCGCACAAACGAAGGATATGCAGCGAGATAATGTCCTAGCCAATGTCAAAAGTGACGTCAAATTATTATTTGGCCCTTGGGTTCCTAGTGGAACATAGAGTTACAGTAACACGTCGCCATTTCCCTCTCTTCTCTGCAGTCTTCTCAACTTGGCTCCACGACTGCCCACAAGCTTTCATTTCTTCCTCACATGATCTCCATGTCATCCTCGGACGCCCAACTCGTCGCTTCCCCTTTGCATTCCACTCGAGAACCTGGCCTTACGTGTGATGTCCCCAAATGGTCTTCTTAGTGTATATCCAATCCATCTCCACTTCCTTCTACTGCATATTTGTTGAATGATGGATTCTTGGTTGGTTTCTTGTTGCTGATTCTTACTATTCTAGCCATCTGATCTTGAGTCTCAATATCGAGTAGGCATAGACGGCAGCTGTTGATGTATGTGTGCAGTTTGTTGGAAATGCTTTTCGTAACGCGCCAAGTCTGTGAACCATCACATAGAAGCACTGACTTGACTGACATTAGTGTTGAAAATCTGTATCTCGTTCACACTTTATGCTAAGTGGAGTAGAGTGCAGTAGATCTGCACACTGATTATTTCAGATTAATGAAAGCCTGTTTCGCTGTTTTTCTGATCCTCATCTATGCCGCCACTGCCTGTACTTGAAACGATGCTGCGTTGCCTAGGTGGACGAAAGTTATTGCTTCGTTTAGATTTCTCTCGTTGATGGTGATTGATGCTTTTTGTTGTTGTTGGTAGGGTATCTTCATCACTTTTATCTTCTCTACGTTCACCTAGAGGAAGTGCGTCTTCGCTGCTTCGCCTCTTCTGTCAACTTGTTAGTTTTCAACTGTAGATCTAGTTTGTGCGAAATTCAAATCTTCTACAGTCTTTTCCTCTGTCCAGACAGCGTATGCTCATCTTCTCACTCCTTGCGGTTTGTTGCATGATTCAGCCCAGTCCAGTTGACCACAATTAGGAAGATCAGTGATAGTAGGCGACAACCTAGTCTTACTCCTGTCTTTACTTCAAAGGTATCCAATAAACCTTAGACTTTCGAGGCTATGAAACCGTATTATTTAAACAGTAATAAATCATGATTTCTTTCTTTTTAAAATTGTGTTGATGAGGTTGTCGGGCTTAAAAATAAGCGATTAACAGTTAAATCTTCCAAGTCAATGGACCAAACATTTGACTAGATTTCGTTTATATTGAAAGGTGACGAAACTCAAGAAGTGGGTGTATTGACCTGTTAACGTTGTTTTCTAATATACGCTTCTTTTTACAGTTTCGTCCACCTTCTTTGTCAATCAGACATCTAAGAAGGTGGTGTTGTCGTCACTTTCTCTCTGGATGGACTCTATTAAATTTATACAATATAATCCTCGCATCGTTCGCGTTATTCACAATCAAGAATGCATCATCTACGTTTATTAGCGTCCATCCAGCGATAACCTTTACTATTGAGAGTGAGTGACGACAGCATCACCTTCTTAGATGTCCGATTGACAAGGAAGGCGGACGGAACTGTAAAAAGAAGCGTATATTAGAAACCAACGTTAACAGGTCAATACATCCATTTCTTGAGTTTCTTCACCTTGCAATATAAACGAAATCTATTCGGGTGTTTGGTTCATCGGGCAAGACTCATCTGTTCAGATGATACTTTTGATAAAGAACTTCAAATTATCCATGATCTACCACCCACTAGTAATGGATATGCAGAAACGTTTCTGGCTAAAGTGTGAAAACCAGAGTACCAACAGTCTCTAAGAGACCGTTGTTCCTAGGACTACAATTTCGAGGTGACATCATCAGCAAAATTGTGACACAGCGCCTACGAGACCATTTAATGCAGCAAAGTTATTCTGCGTCTTCCATAGTCGGTCGATGGTGACCACGCGAATCAAAGACAGATTACCTGACTTCTATGTGGATTTACCAGTTCAACAGCTTCTATGGAGCTGGTTACATTGGACGGACAGTTAGGTAAGTCTGTTGTCGAACCGTCAAGCCTCATCGTTCATGATTATATGAAGGCCGAACCAGATCGATATGGAGCTCAATACCCTCTTATCTGATGGACACTGGTCACCAGGTTAATATCCATAACGCCGTTAAAGTTATTTATCAGGTTTCTTTTAATCTCACCCACCCATGCTCCACGAGTTCATCTTTTACATACAGCAGAAGTTATCGAAATCCATCCGAGCAAACGGAGTTGTGTGTTCAGAAGAAATTCGTAGAGCCATTTTCTTTGCCTTAGTCATCTGTATAGCTTATCTATTACAACAAAAGCTTTCCTTTCACTATAACTAATATTTTAATATTTCTGTTATTATTATTATTCCAGTTTCAGCCATCTTATTCTCCCCTCTTGTCTCTAATTACCGTCAACAATTTACCACTTGGCATAGCAGTTTCTTTTCGCGTTAGTTAACTGTCGTACAAAATATCAATTATATAACAACCTGTTTGAAATTTCATGAAATCTTTCTGAGATATTTATGTACTTATAATATATATATATATATATATATATATATATATATATATATATATATATATATATAGTTTTTGATACTATTTACCTGGTTCAAATAAGATCTACAGTAGAATTATGTATTCAATAAAAAGGTATAGTATACTACTGAATTATTTTTAAAGCATATTTTTTTATTAACTTCCCTTTTTTGTTGAGTTATCAATATTTAGTTTCATGCTGTAAGATCCTTCTATTTCGCTTATTTATATAGTGAGATGAAGGCCTCACTTCTGCGTACTTTGACCGGTGAAGTGGATTCGAAAGAGGATGAATTAGAGTGAGTATTGTCTTTTTCTTTTTTTACTTAAAAAAAAATAGTCAATAATTGTATTTTCTATACTTCTTTCATATGATCTGGAATGCTGATTAAAAGCTTTTGTTATCAATATCAGGGATAACTCACTGGAGTCAATGGCATACTTTTATGGTATCGAAACCTTAAGTTGCTAGTAGTTAGATATTCTATCCTCACCTCACTATGTAAACCCTGTACAATGAAAGCTCATACCACCTTTATTGAAATACTATATATGGTAGGGTAGAGTGTCCTATTTTTTAGGGTAGATCTATCCGAACCCTCTTCTTATAAGGAAGGCAGCTTTAGCATAATACTGCTGGTCAACCACTCGAAACATCTTATCGCTATCACACCCTTGGTCGACCCACTGTACAACGTTGCATTCAAACCCCGTCATAACATAGCTGTTTACCTCGTTATAGTAACTGCTTTTTGTCTTACCACTATCTAACACACCTTTCCGGTAGAACATCAAGGAACATCAGTTCTATCCACCTTAGTTCTTTGGGTCATTATGATATACAAGTCGCATCACCAGCATACGGATAACTAAACGGACAAATTCAACGTAGAACCTCGCACACAAGTAGGTCGGTTCAGGTTGTCACTTTTTATAGTAGTATACAAAGAACAAGCAGGTAGGAAAAACTGATATCAAAGTAGATGGTATATGGAGGGAGAAAAAATTTAAAAGTTAGGGTTAGTGAAAATATTTCAGACTTAGGAAATGTCAAGAAGTGACCGATTTTCAACAATTTCGCTGACTTGTCGTCTCGGGGACCCCAGCCATATAGTCTACACTTCCTTATACCCCTCAGGTCAACGGTCACCGACTTCATCGACTAGTGTCAGGCCTTGGTTTAGCCACTCTGAACCTTCTTCTAATCTGAGGACTCAAGGATCATAGGCATCAAATTGGTCAAATTGATTCCCATATAGTTATCACAAGAAAACTCTTCTTCCTCATGCACTGGAATGATCATTGTTGACCAGTCTGACGGGACTACTTTTGATTCCGATACGCTACTTAACACCGTAACTCTCATCAGAAATTTCCTACCTTGATCGTTAAACACTTTTTATTGCCTTGTCAAGGCAACAGTTATTAGTTGGGTGGTAAGTTCAAACTTTGTGTTACCGTTTAACATGATTACTCCTCATATAATAGATATGCTGTATAGTTGAGTTCTCAAACACGCATCCAATTGTAGCGTTAACATCTATGCAAGATTGATTTTGTGTTTATGTGAAGTTTAATCACCAAAACGAGTAGATTACTTAGTGCAATCAATTCTCTATAGAGTAATGTGCATACCTTTTAGACATGCGAAGATCTCAGTTCAATAATTGAATGCCTCAACCAATGAAAAGATCAGTCTTTGAAGACAGAAATAAGATGGATTTGCTTTGAAAAAAAGTTGGTATTCATCATGAACTGACATCAGTTGAAGGAACATTAGAAACCTGGGAGCATTGGACAGCTGACTGTTTCTTCCTGGCATGGGATTCCTCAGTATTGTGCACCCATGACCCTACCTCGCCAGGGTTCGAACCCAGGACTTTTCGGTTCCGTGGTGAGCACGTTACCATTAAGACAGTGGTGCATATTTCCTTTTTCTGTCATTTCATGGTATAGCACGGCCATCACCCAATTTCATCGTTGAGTATTTGTCCTCATAGCCACCAGGTTTGCTTCACCGGTCATGACTTCTCGCCGAAACTTCGGGAATCACCTCTCAGCTAGTCACTAATGAGCACTAGGTCAACTGGATTTAGAGGTTAGTGGGGATTTAGTGATTGCGACCCGGTGCCCTGATAGTAACGTGTTCCGCACGGAACTCCAAGGTTCTGGGTTCGATCCATGGTGGGATGGGGTCATGGGTGCGCACTGCTGAGGAGTCCCATACTAGGGCGAAACAACCAGCTATCCAGTTCTCCTAGGTTCCTAATATTCCTCCAGCTGATGTCAGTTCATGATGAATATTAACTTGAAAAGTGTCACATTTTCGTCCAACCACCTCGAGATTCCTTCCGAAGAAGTTATACACTTTCTTCATCTTCATAACTTTTGGATATACATTGTTTTAGTATTTGTAAGATGGCTATTTTTGCGCATCCACCTTATCAACCTGCAATGTAGTTATGTTATAATAAGTTTATATATGGCTAATTATGTAATTGCTTGTTTGGATTTTTGAGTTGAAGTCGAAATACACATTCATGCAGTAGGCAAGTGAGTCACACCTGCTATGTATGCGAGATTTATTGATTCTACACGGTTGCGTGTACCTGACTAGGTGTTGGGCAGGGTTCGAACCGTGACCCACTGGTTGAAAGTTAGCTGAATCATAGATCTACACATTTCTTAGTACAATTGTTTCTTTCGTTTCTTCTAACTGTGTAAACTTCTTATTTTATTTCGATTCTTTAGTAAATTTTTATCCACACTTTACTTGGATCCACAGACAATGTTGACACCAGATCCACCCTTACCTCAGTCAATTTATGATCGTTTTGCTAGTATGGATGCTATGGAGCAAGATCCTAATCGTGAATTATCAAAACAGTTGAAAAGTTGGTTTTCTTTTGTAATTCAAATTAGTCCTTTAATACTTGGTTTAGTTTCTCTATGTTTGATATGTTAAAAAGTGCTGTATTGTTAGTCTGAAAAGTTGATTTTTAACCAATGAGTTATAGGTCTCTTCTCCTTTCCACTTACCAAGGTAATGGCAATCGCGCAAGACAATTACTGCTTGCATACCGTTGTGGAGTTTGTTGATGTTGCTGGGACATTGTTCTACTTCGCTAATCTCTATAATGTATTTTGCTCTAAAAAGCAACAAATATGCACTGGAGTTTTTCAAAGGATTAAGATGTTTCCCAGACTACCAAGTAAAAGTGTTTGGTTCTCTTCGATAGGGTAGAGTTTGTAAGCGTGAAAAGCTGTATATCACTTTCATAGCAAGTTCATGATGGATTTTCTCTTTAGAATCTGACTACTCAAATGCTGTTAAGTAGTATGTTTTATTAACTCACAGCATTTTGCATCAGATTTTTGCTACGAGGCGTTTGGGTTACGGTTCTCAACACAAACCTTGTTGATACTACGTCTGGGAAATCAACAAAACTGTTCTGTTATCACTAGACGCCTGAGTGGGGATCGGGGACGGCAAACCAGAGAAAACCAGGTAGGTTTCAGACCTGGCAATGGGTGTATCGGCCAAATATTCACACTCCACCAGGTTCTGGAACACTGGCACGCTTACTGACGCCCAACAACAGCTGTATTTCTAGACCTGATGGTAGAATTTGACTCCATCGGTCGAGATGTCTCGTGTTATTGTCTCCTATTGAAAGGGGTACCGAGTAATTACACTACCCTATTGAAGGCCCTTTACTCGAACACTTGTGGGCAAGTTGGAGCTTATGGTGAGATTTCAGGTAAGTTGTACACGTGTCCATCAAAGATGCCCACTCTTACCATTCCTATTCGGTTTTGTCATGTATGTTCTTATTGATATCTCCATGTCGTCATGTGATTACAGGAAAATTCTTGATGGACCTGGAATACGCAGATGACATATTCCTGTTAGGTGAAGACGCTGACAAAATGCAGAGACTTCTAGACACCTTGAGTTGCAGTTTGAGAATGTTTGGGATGCGTTCCTCGCCACCTAAACGCAAATTGTTGCTCCAGGACTGGCCTTCGACGGTGCCTCTTCTAACAATAGAGAGTGAAATGGTTGAGCTTGTCGAATACTTCACTTACCTGGGAAGTCGGATCAGTAGCCGACAAAATCTCTGCACGGATACAAAAGGCTTGGTTAGCTTTCGCCAACTTACCTCATCTGTAACGTCGCCATGATATCCGATTGTCTATTAAAAATCGAGTGTACTTTGCTCCAGTCCGCTCCGTTCTACTCTATGCTTGTGAAACATGGCTATTGAAGACGGAAGATATGAGAAGGCTTCCGGTGTTTGACCACTGTTGTCTTCGTAGCAGAGACCGTGTTTCATGGTGTCACTATGTGACTAACACAGACGTCAGGTGTAGAGTTTTAGGGAGAAGAGGTAAGTCAGTTGACACGGTTGGGAACATTCATCGACTGAGATGGTTGACACACGTGTTACGTATGCCTAGTCATGGATTGCCTCGTCACACAATGTTGGCCGAAGTAGGTTCAGGCTGCAAAAAGGCTCTTGGCCCTTGGCCAGACAAAAACATGGCACCAATGTGTGAAGTCTTTGACTGTTAGTTTGGGTCGGTTGGTGCCACGAGACAAGAGAAACCAGTAGTTGGAGACTCTAGGTGACACAGATGTATGCACACATTATCCTTATCTTAACCATTATACTTAATCTCATCACCTCAATATTCCTTCCTCTCTTTTACGAATTTTTCTCCTTCCTTTGAATGATTTTTCTTTTTTCTTCATCTTCCATTTTATTATCTTACTACTTGGTTTGCTAATATCAGGTGTTTGGCAACTTGGACCACTACACAGTAATGCTTGGTCCTATGTTGATCTTCATGATGATTATTCAACTGTGTTAAATGCTACCATAGACGACCAACCTTGATTCTATCGTAATGTTGATACAGCCAACTAAATGACGCCGGTAGGTGTTCATCTGCTAGACTGTCAAATGAATCTACCACTTAGTTTAACCATATTCTAAATTTAGTTTTCACAACGATCGTTATCCTTCTTAAAGTTATTACTATTATTAGTGCTGTTTTATCTACATACCTTTGCTCATTGATTTTCTTAGTTCACAAACTGGGTATTGTTTTGTTTATTTTTCTTCTCCAATGGAAAGGTCTTGTAAGCGTCAGTGTTGATGTTGACAGTGAAATCAAAAATTTGTCTATCAAACTGGATGATATGGAAGGATGTTTCAGTGCATTGCTCGTAAGCACTGTTGTTTTTATGTATAAACATAAATTCACTGAGTTGAAATATATTGGGACTTGGTATTTCCTGTTGCTTTTTGGTTTCGATAAAACTGAACCAACCTTCATTGGCATATAAGCTCTTGTGTAGAAGCTTCAATATCATTGGTGATTTTATCTTGATATTATCGATGGATAATGAGTAGCAGTGGAATCCATGACGTGTATTTCATCCTATTTAAGTTGATTTTATCTCACTCTAAATGTTCCACCTGGGGTTTGTAGAGATTTATTAATGGATTATATGTTGGAATTAACTACGGAGTGATGTCAGTTGGAGGAAAATTGGAAATTTGGAAGCACCGGACAGCTAGCTATTTCGTCCTAATATGGAACTCCTCAGGAGTACGTACCCATGACCCCACCCCACTAGGAACCAAACTCAGGACCCTCAGGTTCCATCGGGAGGACGTTACCATTGAGTCACTAGTTCTTCTGTCAGTTGACGATATAGCGCGACCTACATCTAATGTCATTGTTGAGTAACTGTCCTCATATAGTGACTTGGTTGACTCCAACGGTCACGATCCCTGGTGAGGTCATGGGTGCGCACTGCTGAGGAGTCCAGACTAGGACGAAATAGCTGTCCAGCACTCCTAGCTTTTCAGTGCTCCTCCAACTGATATCAGTCGATGATGAATTCCAACCTAAAATACTCCAAATATATAGAAATAAATAAAAATTCAAAATCCAGGACTTACAATAAGGTAGTGAGTCGAGGAATTATGAGAGTAATAATGACAAATCCCAGTAAAAATCTATAGCAATTCATACCTGATGAGGTAGAAAATTCTGGAGCTATAGAGTGGGGGAGGGACAACAAAAGAATAATCGGTGTGAATGCGGGGACCTGCTTTCGCTTAATTATGTGAAAAACTAGAAAAACGTTAAGCTAAGAGTGATTAACAGTCAGTCAGTAAGTAATAAAGAGATGAAGCAATAAAAAGAAAGCTGTATATATAGACGTGCAAAGTTATTTACAGTTGCCAGGTCGAATGCCATCTCTTTCTAAGTACACAGGTCAGGTTAAAAATGTTAAGAAGACCACCTTCTGTCTGATAAATTTTGTCCTTTTGCCCTTTAATGACTATCCTTTTAATGTTATAGTTTTTGTACTTTCTTGTCATCGACCACCATTTGCATATGAGGGCTCTTGCGCGTATGCTTTGGTATTATTGGTTATTTCATTTTATAGTAATGATAGATATTGGCTAGTAGTGGAATCCAGGACATGCGTCTCGTCCTACTTACGATTCGTCAGCTGGTTGTATCTACCTACACCAGTGAGTGATAATATTCCCATTGAGACCTGAGCACGGCGCCTTTCGTTTCAGACACCAAAGCGTTACCCACCGGAGTATTTCTTGTACGATAGGTGGTGTAGTTTTGATATTGTAGTTTATGGTCGACCAGTCCGAAATGGGGTGAAACGCACATCCTAGATTTTCACTGGTAACCATGGATGTTGATTTCCTCAGTGAAACCCTGGTCATGATGTGAAGAAGAAGAGAATTTCGTTTAAGAAGTAATATTCGGTGAAACAATGAATGTACAACTGAACAGTGTGATTATTTGTTAACTACCTATAATTATCAGGAGTCTTCGTTAACCAGATGAGAGTGGTGTGAACGCCGTATATTGGCAATTGAAAAACTCGATTCGTGAAAGCCACTGCAAATCGTAATAAACATGATGTTCTTACTTTCTTTCTTGATTATCCTGAAGGTTTGAGAAACATCTGTGTGATACCGTGTCCCCATCAACTTCCTGGTGATTACGCTGCTGTATTGTACTGCTGTTATATATGTATAATGTGTATTAATAGTGTTATTTTTTAACGTCGGATTACATATATATATATATATATATATATATATCTGCAGGAACAAAGATGCTTGCAGAATAAAATGAGATCATTTTATTTCATCGCCTTTCATCAGCTGAAAACAGCCTACAATTGAAATGAATTATTAGTAGTAGTAGTAGTAACAGTAACATAACATACTTTAAACATACAGAAATAAATGGAGATTTTAAATCGAGGATTAACAATAAGGCGATGAGTGAGTCAAGTAAAAACAGGATTAATAATTACGAATCTTAGTCACAATCAATGATAATTTATGGCTAATGAGATAGGAAATTGTGGAGCTGTGGAGTGGGACTGGGGCGGTAACAAACGAAAATCAGTGTAAAAGAAGGGACTGTGTAAGAGCTGATAGGTTACATATTTACATAAAAAACTTGGAAATGGTTACATGATTAATAGTCAGTAAGTAATTAATGAAGAGGTGATGCAATCGAAAGGAAAGGGAAGGCTATATGCATAAGCATGCAAAACAAATTATATACAGTTGCTAGGGTAAAGAAAGGTTAATTACAGTCTCTTTCTCAGTACATAGGTCAGCTTCCGTAAACCGTAATAAACATAGTTTCCTTTGTTTGTTGATTATCCTGAAGGATTGACAAACATCTATTTGATGTTTTATTTCCATCAGCTGCCTGGCAATTGCGTTCTTAAAGACGTTGCTACTACTCAGACACAGATTTCTCGGAATATGTTCATAAAATCGAGTGGACGCCCTTCTCTCAGTCCATCCTACTTACTTGCTTCCACAAACACAGGCGAATTGATATATGCAGTTGGAGGTGACGTGAAATGGATATTTGTCTACTTTCAACTGTGTTATTGAGCATAATGTATTGTAAACCGAGATTAATCTGGTAGCAGGGAAGCTCCTTCTTCTATCTATTCTTTGAAATGTCTCATCACCTTTGAATGCTAGACGAAGTAAAATGGGCTTCCTGTCAACAGTTGGATGTTTTGGTCTCTCAGTAAATTCTTTTCCATCCTTCATGATGAATTTCTTCAGATATCCATTCTCTATAACAGCCTTCTCAATTATCCTGAATTCTTCTTCTTGTTTATCTTTAGAGCACAGGGTTTTTACCCTGGTGAATAGCGTCCTGACCAAACCACGTTTATAGCTGATAGGACAGAAGCTATTGTAGTGAAGGTACTGATCAATCCACATGTCTTTTCTATGGATAGTTTTCTCAAGTGTACCATCCCCGTCTCCGTCTTATACTTAGATCCAAAAAATTCAATCTTTTCTCATTTTCATATTCCATTAAAAATTAATATTTGAGTGAACTTGATTGGAAGTGTCGAACAACTTTGATTGCATTATCTCTTCATTAATTACTTACTAATTAGTAATCACTTTACGATTTTCAAGTTTTTCATGTGACTACGCAACCTATTAGGCCTTCTTTTACACTGATTTTCGTTTGTTACCGCCCAGTCCCACTCCACAGCTCCACAATTTCCTATCTCATTAGCCATAAATTGTCATTGATTGTGACTAAGATTTGTAATTATTAATCCTGTGTTTCCTTGACTCACTCATCGCCTTATTGTTAATCCTCGATTTAAAATCTCCATTATTTCTGTATGTTTAAAGTATGTTATGTTACTGTTACTACTACTACTACTAATAATTCATTTGAATTGTAGGCTGTTTTCAGCTGATGAAAGGCGATGAAATAAAATGATCTCATTTTATTCTGCAAGCATTTTTGATCTTGGATTTTTCAAATTTCTCAAGGGTACTAAATGTAAAACGAGAATATGGCTGAGAATCGATGTCAATGGCTCAGATGTATACATACATTATCCTCATCTTAACGACGCTATACCGAATCTCACCACTTTCTCATTCTTCGTTTCTCTCTTTTCATATTTTACATTTCTCTTGCCTGCATTATCTTATCTTTAACTTGCGCCCTGCTGCCATTTTTAATCGATGTACTGACATGAGGTGTGGCAACTCGTACCATTACACAGTAATGCCTGGTCCTTGGTTGATCTGGATGGATGGATGATAGTCGATATCGGTGCCTCGTTAAGGGTTATTATAGTTGGAAATCATAATAGATATATGACGAATCTCAAATAAGATGGAACAGCCATTATAAATGCAAATGAATAAATTCATAGTTGTTTTTTACACCTGCTTTAAGGATATGAATCATCTGGTTAAACTCTGGTAGGATCCAAATCAGTTGCCTGTATCATAACTGTATTCAAACCGTTTCTCAATTACTCTTAAGACTGAACTGGTAATCGTCATCAAGTTCAATTGAATAGTGTAACTATTTGATAAATTCTTCAGTGCCTTTTATATCTAGGTGGATGTCGAAATGTCATCCAATTTTATATATATAACTCAAGTAAAAGTTTATCTCTTAACAATTATTTTACTTTTGCTATTTCATTATAGGCTGTTAAAGGTAATGAAAAGATGAGAAATTTCAGTATCATTGTAAAAAATTTAAAGGAACGCTTTAAATCACTCTATGATGCTTGTCAACAAGCTAAACAATCAAACAATCAATTGAGAGAGTTTATTGGACAACAGTTGAAATCATTTGATGATACTTTGAAAGTATCATTAGATGAATTTGTAAAGAATTTACCGTCAGTAAATGATTTAATCACTGGTAAGCTTGTAGTAATATGTGATAGCATGTCGTATGTCGTATTCGTTCGCCTTATAGTTATTATTATTATTATTGCTCAGTGTTAGAGTAGTTGTTTGTTCTTGTCAAGTGTTACAGGATCCAACTTTGCTCAAACCGCCTTTTGAAGTTTTAATGAACCTTTACATAGTTGATCCATGTCATCAGCATCAATATCAACATAGGACCAAGCATTACTGCTTAACGGTCCGAGTTACCAAAGCTCATATCAATACAACAAGTAAAAAGGCATTGAAGTGGAAGATGAAGAAAATAAAATTCAGTCAGAAGAAATACAAAGTACTAAAAGTGGGTAAGGAAGAATGAGAAAGTGGTGAGAATCGGCATGATGTTAAGATGAGGATAATGTGTGTATAGATGTGTGCCACTAACATCGGTTTTCAGACATATCTCCTAGAGTCACTTTCCAACCACTGGTTTCTCTTGTCCCACGGACCCCAACCGGCTAGCCTGCATCACCCCACATGGCTGAAACCAACAGTCAAAGACTTCATATATTGGTGCCATGTTTTAGTGTGGCCACGTCGGGCCTTTTTCCAGCCTGGACCTACTTCAAGCAACATTGTGTGACGAGGCAATCGGTGACTAGACATACGTAGTACGTGTCCCAAACCACCAATCTCAGTTGATGAAGGTTCATAACCTCGTCAACTGATTTACCTCTTCTCCCTAAAACTCTATGCCTGATTCTGCATTACTCACGTGGTGACACTACAGAATACGGCCTATACTACGAAGGCAACGGTGTTCAAACATGTGAAGCCTTCTCATGTCTTCTATGTTTAATGGTCATATTTCACAGCCATAGAGTATAACAGAGCGGAGTGCTGTGTAGGTGCAGTACACGTGACCCTTAATGGACAATTGGATATCATGGTGGCGCGATAGGTTGTGTAAGTTGGCGAAAGCCAACGGAGCGTTTTGTATTTGTGCAGAGATTTCATTGGGCACTGAGCCACTTTGGTAGTGCTGATAGTACTTCCCATGTAGGTGAAGTGGTCGACACCAATCACTACAGTGTGTATTGTTAGTCGTGGTGGGGCACCGTTGGAGACCAATCGTGGAGCAACAATTTGGATTTTGATGGTGGGGAACGCATCCCAAACATTCTCAAATTGCCATTGTCAGTGTCTTCACCTCCCTTGTATGTTTTGCTAAATATTTCTGTTCTACTATTTTGACTGAGACTGATCGGCTGCTTTGACCCGTATACTTGACCTCAAATCATTTCATTGTATTTGATAGACTTGGTTGTTTTTCTTAATTGACTCTGATGGTTGTTTTATTAGCTTACGAAGTTTCTTTCTGAGTGAGTTTATGGGTTTATATGCTGCCACTCTAATCCCAGGCAGCATTGTTAAGAATTCCAATGTGCCTTGTTTTTACGGCAACACTACAGACCATTTGAATTTCCTACTAGGCATTACGTAATCTCCACAAAAATACCACTCTTTTTCTTTTCAGTCCTTGCAAACGTCTTGATAATTTCCGGAGGAGGGGGCTTTGTTCAGTAATAGTGTATCTTTGATATGTTTCACTTCCTGATTCAGGTTTCTAACTTATTAGTCAAACTCCTAACCCGAATTCTCAGGCATTTGATCAAGCCTACCTTGATCGATATGGGGTGAGATGATGCGAAATCCAAGTATCTATTCGAATGTGTTGGTTTCTTATAAAACACTGACATCTAAGCATCCATCTTCTCTCCTTCTTCATTTCCTAATTCATTAATGAATTGGATTGCATCTACTATGGAGTTAATGTGTGTGAAAAAACTCTGGATGTGTTCTGATTTCAGCACAGTAAATCTGTCATCAACATATCATCACCATACTTTTTGGGTGGGTTGGAATGTTCCCTATGCTAGTTGTTCCCAACTATCCATAAATCTATCTATTACCATCGAGGATATTGGAAATCCCTTCACTACTCCTGTTTGTTTATATATTTGTCTTGGAATTTGAAAACCGTGGATGTTGGACACATAGTTTCTCTAGCATAATTTTTTTGATGGAAAACTTAGTTCTCTTACTGAGTTCATGGTCGGTTGTAAGTTCATTTCTGGCCGTCTCAAGTTCCACATTAATTAGTACTTTGTATAGAGCTCGTCATATCAAAACTGGCCATCTTTTCCCCTTCTTCTAATTGTCTGTTATTTAGTCTATGTTTCAATTCAGTTGGATTGGTGAGCCTAAATGTTGAGCAGTTTCTAACAGGACATAGTATTGTAGCTAAATATTCTGATAACTCATCTGTTGGTGTGTTTCTAAAGTCGTCTATTGGCCTAATAGAATAACCTGTTTTATGAACTTAGTACTATACATTCTACTAGGATTATTTGTTTTGTGCATTAAATTAAGCCATTGAAATTCACTTACTGTGGACTTTTTAATCTGTCTATAGGCTCTTTTTTTATTTCCTCCAGTGGTTCTGTTTTCATGTATCCATTGACTTTTTCTTAAGTAATTCGTCTTACCTACGACTGTTGTCGATTTACCTTTGTCTACATTTCCTGAAGCATCATTTTAGATTTGAGAAGTGCAAAACGTATCCCAAAGGTACTCAGATTTTTACTCATTTATCAAATGATCCTACTTTTCATCCACATTTTCACATGTCTAAACATATTATTATTTTCCCCTTGGGTTCCTAGTGGAACATAGGGCTTCAGTAGCACGCTTTCGTTGCACTCTGTCCTCTACAGTCTTTTGAACCTAACGCCACGACTGCCCACAAGTTTTCGTTTCTTCCTCATACTATATCCTCCACGTCACCAGCTGGGACGCTCAACTCGTCGTTTCCCCTCTGCATTCCACTCGAGGGTCTGGACTGGCGCGTGATGTCCCCAATCGGCCTTCTCAGTGTATGCCCAATCCATCTCCACTTTCTTCTGCATATTTGTTGAGTGATAGGTTCTTAGTTGGTTCGTCGTCAGCCAGAGTGAGTTCCTTGTTGCTTATTCTTATTATTCTGACCATCTATCTGATCTTCAGTGTCAGTATGGAATGATCGTAGGCGGCAGTTGTTGATGAATGTCTGTAGTTTGTTGAAAATGCTTTTCGTGACGCGCCAAATTTCTGAAGCATATAGCAGCACCGACTTGACATTGGTGTTGAAAATCTGAATCTTGTTCCACATGCTGAGTGCAGTAAATCTCCACATTGATTTCAGATTAGTGAAAGCGTGTCTTGCTGTTTTCCGAACCTGGTTTTGACGTCCTCATCTGTGCTGCCTGTAGTTGAAATGATGCTGCCTTGGTGGGTAGGTGAAAGAGATAACTTCCTTTAGGTTTCTCCCGTTGATGGTGATTGGTGCTTGTTGTTTATGCTGTTGTTGGTTGGGTATCTTCATCACCTCTGTCTTCTCTGCATTCACTTGAAGTCCCGTTTTCGCTGCCTCTTCTGTCAACTTGTTGGTTTTCGTCTGTAGATCTTCGAGTGTGTGTGACAAGACATTAGACATAAATCATCATCGGTGGCGAAGTCCAAATCTTCTAAGCTCTTTTCATCGGTCCAGTCAGTATGTGCCCATCTTCTCGCTCCTCACGGTTTGCTGCACGATCCTGTCCACCACAATGAGGAAGATGATTGGTGGATAGTAGGCGGCAGCCTTGTCTTACTCCTGTCTTCACTTCAAAGGTGTCACTAAGCTTTCCATTGTGGATCACGTTGCATATTGCGTCGTCATATAGCCGTTGAATGAGGTTGTTAAACGTTTGTGGCACCAAAACCGTAGTGTTGAAGCAACTGTCTGTCAAATTACTTCTCGGTCGACGCTGTCGAAGGCCTTTCCAAAGTCGATAAAGTTGAGGTTGAGTTGGGTTGACTGCCATTCTATACTCTGTTCTATGATCATGTGTAGTGTAGCGTTGCAATTGATCTGCACATGATTTGTTCTTCCCGAAGCCATCCAGCCTATTCCGGTGGTAATTTTGAGTCCAGTGCATCCTCTTAGTCTCTGCAGGATGATGCAGTTAAAACATACACCTTACTAACAGACATCAATATGACCAAGTGATGATTATTTTTTATAGTGTATAAAGTATAAATGTAACTCAGAAGCTACTACACACAGGTTCTTTTACTTAAAGTGAGACATAAGGGACTGATAGTACTCCCTGGTTGCTTAAATCTCGATACACAAAACAAGGTTCAAATCTAAAATCAGTTATATTCATCTTGTTGGCTAGCAGTGGAGTCTAAGACGTGTGTTTCGTCCTATTTACGACTCACCAGCCAATTATATCTGTATTTCAGTGAGTGTTGTTCCAAATGAATCTAGAACCTAGTAGTCATCGCTTCAAACACCATCCACCTCTTATTACATAAGGATCAGTTGTTGTTTTGACACTTGCAATTTCTAGTTGCTATAAAGGACTGAATTGTTCAATCTCTGTTAACCTATGATAATATATGCCCGACCGATAGCTGCTACCTTGACGTGGTGGTTGGGCTTGCATATCACAATGACCCAACGAGCTATGCTGGTGGAACGCTTGTTCCCTCGAGGTCCTACCATACCACAAAGGTCTGTTGGATAGTGGTTAGACGAAAAGCAGTTACCGTCATAGTGTAAATTGCTACACTATGATGGGGGTCTGAGGGCGAAGTCGTACTGCTGCTAGCTGGATGGGGTGTGACAGCAGTAAGGTATTCCCCTTGGATGACCAGCAGTGCCATGCTGATGCTGCCTTCTCAGTGGAAGGGAGGGGTTAGAAAAGGTCGGCCCCAAAAATAACACACACTACCATGCCCCACGGTCTGCCGAGCCGGCGGTGTTGGTTCACTTGTCGGTTCTTTTCGACCATCCGACCCCAAAAATACAAAAGTTCAAAATACTCATACTCAGAAGGCTATGTGTGACAGGCCTCAAGCAGATGTCCAATGGACTCTGTGGTCACACAAATCTCTTTGAGGTACCTTAAGAAGAAATGGCCTTCCACGTTGTGGGCAGCCGGGAAGTGTCAACTGCCCTCATACCTCTGTCAGCACTCAAGTTTCTTCTAACTGCTACCCACCCCCTCCATCATTACCTTCTAATCTTCCTTCACGTCTCTCAATTAACGATGCTGCATCATCTTTAATTTCTCCTACTTCTGCAGCCTTCGACAACGATCTGACTCCACAGAACAGCATCACTGGTCTCCTTAAACCACGCTCCAAATTACATATTGGAGCCTTCAATGTCCGCACCCTCCATCAAATTGGTCACAGGCTTCGTTAGCAAAGACTCTAGCAACTCGGGCCGTGGATGTATGATGTATTTGTGAGACTCGCATACAGGACCCAAGTGTGGTTATTCACCTGACCTCTCCTGACCAATCTGGTGAATCCGGAAAATTCACCCTTCGAGTTTCTGGAGATTCGATAGCTAGCTCTCGTGGTCTTGCAGGTGTAGGCATAGCACTGAAGACTAGGGCAGCGAAGACTAAAGAGATGGAAAAGGCAGCGGCGATCGGTAATAGTAGACAGTTATTTGGACTTATTAAGGAGACTAGGGGGAAAAGATCAACAACAGTTAGTGAGGCTGTAGCGGAGAAGGACGGATCTGCGATCACTTGCAGGTAAGACGACTGGAACGATGGGCAGAACACTTCGAGGAACAGTTTAACTTGCCTCCAGCCACGATTGCGTTGCCCGCTATCTAGTCGGATCCTGAATGGGACATAGAGATAGGTCCCCCAACAGTAGAAGAAGTTGAGAAAGTATTAGGTAACCTGAAACGAGGAAGGGCAGCAGGACCAGATGGACTACCTGCTGAGGTGTACAAGGATGGTGGTAGAGTGCTCTTAGTCAGGTTAACGGAAGTGCTCACCAGTATTTGGGAGTCGAATACTATCCCCTCCGACTGGTCTAAGTCACTGATTATCCCAGTCTTCAAGAAAGGCGAGAAGTCCTCTAGTGATAACCACAGAGGAATCAGCCTGACGAACATAGTATCCAAAATCCTAGGTTCTATAATTCTGTGACGCCTGAGTGGAGCTCGGGAACACCAAGTCAGAGAAAACCAGACAGGCTTTAGACCTGGCCGCGGGTGTATCGACCAAATATTCACACTGTGCCAGATCCTGGAACATAGGCATGCTTACAAACGCCCGACAACAGCTGAATTTTTCAACTAGAAGGTGGCATTCGACCCTGTTGATCGAGAAGTCTTATGGCAATGTCTGTCACTGAAAGGCGTGCCGCCTTATTGAAAGCTCTCTACTCGAACACTTGTGGGCATGTTACAGCCTATGGCGAGTTTTCCAAGGAGCTATACTCATCGAGTGGTGTCCGTCAAGGATGCCCACTGTCTGTCTCCATTCTTATTCAATTTTATCACAGTTATTCCCATGAAGGTCTCCCTCTCGTCACCTAATTACACAGATGTTGACCTAATCACAGGAGAATTTTCGTCAGACCTAGAATATGCAGATGACATAGTCCTGTTAAGTGAAGACGCTGACAAGATGCACAGTTTTCTGAACACTTTGAGTGGGAATTTGAGAATGTTTGGGATGTGTTTCTCACCACCAAAATGCGAATTGCTGCTCCATGATTGGTCTTCAACGGTGCCCCACTATAGCTTACAATAGAGTGAAGTGGTTGGGTGTGTTGACCACTTCACTTACATGGGAAATAGGATAAACCCTGGTAGGTTAGTTACCGATGAGATCTCTGCACGGATAAAAAAGGCTCCGTTGGCTTTTGCCAATTTGCGCCACTTGCGGCGCCACCGTGATATCAGTTTGTCTATTAAGGGTCGCGTGTACTGCATCTACACAGCAGTCCCGTCTGTTTTACTGTATGGCTGTGAAACATGGCCATTGAAAGTGGAAGATATAAGAAGGCTTCAGGTGTTTGAACACTGTTACCTTCGAAGTATAGGCTGTACTTCATGGTGTCACCACGTGACTAACAAAGACGTTAGATGTAGAGTTTCAGGGAGAATAGGTAAATCAGTTGACGAGGTTATGAACCTTCATCAACTGAGATCGCTGGTTTGGACACTTACTACGTATGTCTAGTCATCGATTGCCTCGTCACATAATGTTGACTGAAGTGGGTCCAGGCTGGAAAAAGGCCGAGGTGGCCACACTAAAACATGGCACCAATGTATGAAGTGTTTGACTGTTTGTTTGAGTCATGTAGGACGATGCAGACTAGGTGGTTGGGGCTTAAGGGACAAGAGGAACCAGTGGTTGGAGACTGACTCTATGTGATCACATGGCTCAGAACCGATGTCAGTGGCGCAGATGTATACACACATTATCCTCATCTTAACTACACTATACCGAATCCCACCATTTTGTCACTCCTCTTTCCTTTCTTCTCGTACTTTATCTTTCTTTTCACTGCATTCACCTATCTTCATCCTTCACCTCACTACCTTTCTACTTGATGAACTGACGTGAGGTGTGGCAACTCATACCGTTACATAGTAATGCCTGGTCTTATGTTGATAATGATTGATTGATTGATTATGACAATATTATGACAACTTTACCTATTAATCTGATTCATTGGAAGAACTCTTCCTCTTGTAAATTTTAATAGAATACAATTCATTGTTTTATATTTATTATATATTTCCTAACTTCGTAGATATAACATTTAATAAAATTTTCATGGAAGCACAACGTTTATTTGATAAAGTCAATGAAATGCGTCAACAACGATATGAATTAGTCAATCATTAAGAAGTAGTTTACACGCTGATGATGTTAACAGTGATTTAATTATATTCAATGAGAATAAAGATAATTTAGATGTATGGTTTACAAATCGTTTAAAAACAAAACATGATAATCTTGTAAATATTATTAAACAGAATTTAATTGCACAAGGTAATATTCAATCTGCTCTGATTGATTTAAATGCTGAATATGCACCATTATGGGAAAAATTAAAAGAAATTCGAATAAAGTGAGTTAATAATTATCACTATTTTATTAATTCACTATTGTTTTATTGAATCAAATTATTCAACTTTTGATGAATATTAAAATAGGACGAAATACACATTCTAGAGATTTTTCGGTTAGTAGTCACAACCAAGTAGAATGAGTTGACTTATTATCATCATGATTATTACTCCATCTATCATCAAGGTTTGAGGGAGTCGGATAATATAATTTAGGTCTCACATCCTGTTTTTTTTTTTGTGTGTGTGTGTGTGTGTGTGTGTGTAAATACAGTGATGTACTGATTTACTTTTCTTCACTTTTCAGTTACTTGACTAGACTTTATTATGAACGGAAATCTTTACAGTTGGCTATTGTGATCAGAATATTTTGCCTTTTTTTTTCAAGTTATTATTTCATCATGGAGTGATATCAGTTTGAGGAAACTTAGGAGGACTGAATGGTCAATTGTTTCATCTTAGTATAGTGCACACCCGTTTTCCCGCTAGATATCGAACCCCTGCCCTTTACGTTCCTTAGTCAGTACGTGAGTACAAACATCTGAGTAGATAAAGGGAGAAGTACTAATTTACTGTTCAAAACTGGTTCAGTCACTGCATATAACTGACTTAAATCACTTATGGGTTCATTTTACAATATCATTCAAGTTATTTTCATTAGATACAAAAATTATTTTTGTAGTATATCACTTTGTAAATTTTATCGCTTTATCTTTAGACGATCTGAACAAATTAATCATATTCTATCAACTGGTGAAGTATTTGATGATATTCTATTAAAATCTAAACAAGGGATAACTTTTTACAATTCTGTAATTGATCAATTAAAACAACTTGACAAAGAGATTGATCAACTCATTGAAGATTTTCATAAACAGTTACGTTCATCAATGGCAGAATTATCGAAACCAATATCAAGTAGGTAGTTTGTTGTTTATAATTTTTGTGATATATATTATAGACTGTTTTATCCAATAATTAATGTATGTATTCTAAGTTTAATCTTTTCAAAGGGCTTGTTATTTTCATGAACATAGAAAACCTTAGGTGTAATGCTTTTACACATATAGAATACCCTACTCCATCAGTAGTACAGAACACTATCGACTGATTAGACTTACATTTTAGACGGATAGATAAAGAGAATCAACATAGAATCTTGTACGTAGATGTGTTGGTTCAAGTTGCTACACTTCACAGTAGTATACAAGGAACTAGTGAATAGAAAAAGAGTGATATCAAGAAAGATAAAGTAGTATGAGAAAAGATTAGTACGAATATTTGAAAAGAGTCCTAAATCACTGATTTGTTTCATCTCAGGAATCCTAACTAGGCAATCAACATCTCCACATGACTCAGACCTCACGAATCGACTTCCTGTCTCTTGCCTAAAACACTTCAACTGATTCCACCAAACACGAGCAATGCTATGAAAAAATCTGTGTGTATTAAACCTTGTAATCGCTTTATATCTTCTACTGTTAACGATCATATCTTACAGTTGTATAACAGGATAAAATGAACTGCAGGGCAGTATACTCATCTTTTGATAAATAGTCGGATATCCCGCCATCCAGTTTCGGAGATAATGGAAATTGGCTGATTTACAAAATCAGCGTAGAACCTCCCATATGAGTGCATCAGCTCAAGTTTGCCGCACTTCACAGTGGTACGAAAATTCCAAATTCTTTTTTTTATACTTGAGTTGAGATTACTTCGCCAAGTAAACGAAGTGGTCAACACATTGTACCACTTAATGTAGGAGTAGTTATAGACCAGTTTGAAACGTCATCTTACATTTGACAAGTATGAGATGCATATCAAACAGATTTCGACTGAACGTGTTCAGAAGACCTTACATTCCATCATTATTGTGCTTAGAATTAATTCTTTAGCATTTTTTGTGGATAGAAGCCGCTTAGTTTTCGTTTAACCGGTTTGATTTAACCTTATTCAACTGCAGTGATGCTGTGAACATTGACTGTTTCTTTTCTGTTTTCTACATAAGATGTATCGACTGAATCATTGCCTCGTTTACCATCTGTCTCAGTACCTTCATTCCCAACTCTTGGTGATTATATGCAGGCGATGCGTTCATCATCCACAGGAACGTTCCAACCTAATATATATTTAGAATCTACAAGATGGCCATATCATCTGTACACACTTTGAATCAACAGCATCAGCTTCAACATGTAAACTTTATTCCTACTCCTACTATCACAGCATCATTCCCTTCAGCTTCGATTCCATCAAATCAATCTGTTGGTGATACTTCTATATCTCGTAGTCAACCTCATTCACAGGATGTGTACTTTAAACCACCAGGTGTTGCTCACTCTTTCTCGTATCAACCTACTTCTCAGGTATGTAAAGAGTGATTATTAATAGAGTTGAATTATCCTCTGCTTTGAAAATATTGGTTCATCACTACCACTCAGAGCAATGACTCGATAGTGTACTTAAACTATCATCCTTCTGCTATATACCCATAATTTTGCATAGCTTTTACCTGCTGTTTTGCCTATGACGTTACAAATAATCTACATAGCTGTTTTTATACTGTTACTAGTTTTCCTTCCCTTTCCTTTCAAGGTTGGACTCTCATTGGTTGTCAACTAGATATGGATTTAGTGTCATCAAGGTCATTTAGAAACGCATATATTCAGCGTCGCTGTCAACAGTCTATCTTCTCTTGTAATTCGCGCGTCGGTTGTATTGTTGTTGTTGTGGTGGTTAATGTTATGATTTGCGTTAGAATCGATTCTTTTGCGTGTTAGGTGCGTATCATTTATAGTCTGCTAGGTTTGTATCGCTCATATAGTGTTGTTAGGTCGTACTACTAGTCATAGCACCTTTAGCTCATAATCATACCTTTCAATTCAGCATTCGGATCAATAAGGAAGTTCGATAGTTAGTTATTACCCTCCAGTCTACTTTCGTTCCTAACGGCATCATATGATTGATTAGATTGATACATGAAGGCAGTGCATCTTTTCAATATCTCATTCGATGGATTTTTACAACATGGCTCACTGATTTCTGTTATTTTCGAACTAATTGTTCATTTAAAGGTAACTGAAGTTACACCTTTTATATTATGTTATGCCTATATTGTTGGCGTCATCAAGTTAACAAGTTGTCCTACTAATCTGAGTAACTTAAAACAATGGTACATCATTTTTGGTGTTAGATGGGTGAAAAACAGGAAGCGAGATGAACTATTCCTTGACATTTATGTACGAGGTGTATTGACAACCTGGGGGATAGGGTGGGGATCACTGTTCACTAAAGATTCAGGTAGTATAATTCACTAATAACCTCTGAATGTGGCAGTATCTGACACAATCTGTTACAGTATTAACAAGTATGAAAACTATGTTGTGTACTTCCTAATATATCTACCTTCAACTCTTCAATGTCTATCATTGGTTATTTTGTGTCTATTCCTAGAGCGAGCGAGAGAGAGAGAGAGAGTGAGGGGGGAGAGAGAGAGAGTACCTACCAACTCCTCCTCTACTGAAACTTGGACACCCAGTGTCAAAATCAATTCTATATTCGATTGTTTATTTGATGTATAGCACACAGCGATAGAGTATTATTTACTTGATGACATTTTTAGCATAAATTATCACTCCTCATAAGCATATCAATGTAATCATACCACTTTCGACGTTTACTTTTTATAGTCCTATTACATCTCATATTCTTTCTTTTAAGTGATAGTTAAGTTTTCTTTATCACTGGTATAGGTGTTGGCTGGTTCAATGACCAAAGAGTCCACCATCAATCTCTTTCTCTCCCCCTAATTATATTGAACCTGAGTGCAGTGGTTTTATCCCACCCATCCTATTATGTGGTTGTGTTAATACATGAATTACAATAGTCTAGTTTTCTCTCTACATTATTGATGTTATTCAGGTCTGCTATTCTATATTCAGCTAAGTTCATATGTACCGTTATTTTAACTGACAACTACTGGCTCGTTTAATCTATCTACTTGATCACACAGTCATTGCATGGAATTTGATAGATTAGCTTGTTTTGCTTAATTGAAACTTGTGGGTTTAAATGCAACCGTAATTCCACCTTTCTTGAGAATCCTACGTAACGTTTCTGATGTTTCTTCCTTATAGGGTAACATAATGAAGGCTATGGACTCCTTTCTACTCGTGTTACTGTTATTATTTCGTTTCTTGTGTGTTCCTACGAATTTCTTAATAAACTGTAGGAGATAATTATTAACCATTATGCTTCTTTTATGTGTTTCAATTCCTTGTTTAGGTCCTTGCACTGACTATGTACTTGATTTCACAGCCATTAAATGGAACTCGGTAGATTAGATTAATTTGCTTAACTGGTTCTATCGGATCCCTAAACCAACCGACAGAGCTTATCTCTGAGTGAGTTTGTAGGTTTAAATACCACCCTAATTCCAGCCTCGCTATAAATACTACGTGCAGTTTCTGATATACCTTCCTCATAGGGTAATACAATGCAGACTGTGAACTCCCTTCTACTCGCATTGTCGATATTATTTATACTCCTCTCATTGTTTTTATTCCATTTCCGATGTATTCGTAAGAATTTCTTAATAAGTTGTGGAAGATAGTTATTAAGCATTAGTGCTTATTTCATTTGTTTCAATTCCTTGTTTAGGTCGTTGCACTGACTAGTCAGTTTTCTAGCTCTATCATTTAGACATTTGACTAAACCCACCTTAACTGACATTGAATGAGATGATTTGAAGTCTACATACCTGTTAGAATGTATTGGTTTTGTGTAGACAGTAGTATCGAAACCGCCGTGTCCTTCGTTTTACTCTGTAGTCCAGGATGGGCCATTCTCCTTGTTCATTTCTACTTCGTAAGAGAACTGAATTGCGTCCACTGCTGGTTTTATGTGTGCGAGGAAATTGTTTCTATTTCAACACAGTAAATGTCTCATCTACACGTATATCGCCACTATTTCTTAGGTGTAGGATTATACGTCTGTAAAGCCATGTTTTCCTAACTCTCCATAAATATATCTGCTACAATTAGGGATATTAGTAATCTCATTGCTACTCCTTCTGTCTGGTGTGTATATCTTGTATTGAAACTGGAAGACGGTGTACGTGAAGCACAACTATACGCCTAATATGATCTCATCAACCGATATCTTAATTCTATGAGCAAGTTTTGAGTGAGTATTTAGTTGATATATGACTGCCTCTAGTGCCGTATTGATTGGTATTTTAGTACAAAGACTTGTTACCTCGAAACTAATCACTTTTTCATCCTTTTCTGTATCCCGGCCATTAAGCTTTAGTTTGAGATTGTAAGGATTAACTAGTCTAGAAATTGAATGGTTCCTAATTGGACGATACACCCCCGAAGCCAATCGTTTTGTTTCAAAGTTTCGAGAGAAAGCACGCTAAACCACCCTTTGATCATCGCCCATTTTCTTATGATAACAAAAGGTATATTGCAATACAAGAAATGTATGGAAATAAGACGGTTAGTATATATATATATATATATATATATATATATATATATATATATATATATATATATATACAATGGCCTTGGCTATTTCTAGGCCTTTCTAGATTAGAATATCCTATTGAATTTTGTCTAGTACTGAGTACTGACTAAATTCTATTGATCATTTGCAATGTGGTCACCAGACTAGACAGCTCAACAACGCAATTCACTATGATAGTTGCTAGTTGGTTGAAGGTAGTTGACAAGAAGCCCTTGTCCTAGGTTTCGTACTGGTTGGTGCTCGTCAGCAAGGCATATCTGCAACCTGGATAGAAATGATGTCCGACATCGGATTCGAACCAGTGTCACTCAGTGTTATAGTCAGCGACGTTACCACTGAACACCAGACGATATCAAATTGGTTACTCTTCAGTGACCCATGAATGTCTTGGTTGCATTGTGTTCTGTGAGCTGACTTGTTTTTATCGTGGAGCTTTCATTATCTTTCTACACGAAATCATCCACATCACTCACTTCAGTAGGAAGTGAGCTGTCAATATCTCTCCGTGAGCAGGGATTCAGTAGCTTGAACTGATAAACTGGTTTGTGATTGGTTGTTTTCTTCCGATTGTTGTGTCACTGACTGACTGCATAGATTTCCCTGTTTTCTATTCCTCTGCTTCACCTCTGACCTTCCTGTCGTTTATCATTTTACTTAGTGATTGATAGATTGGGTCTATGTCCATACATATATTGATTGCTGACTGACTGGCTGACTGACCTGAATGCCAAGCTTCCAGGAATTATCTGATATTCTTTGTGTTTCCACTCTCCAAGATTTTTACATTTTCAAAATTCAATTCATGTCCAGAGTTGTTATCCACATGCATTGAAATGGGTGATGAAACGTGGTATGTAACGTTTAATAGCTAATTGGTGTTCATGTAGACGAAGGCGAAGAGGGTGACCAGTTTGTCCAGTGTAGTGTTGACTACAGTTATTCCAGTTGATTTTGCAAATGATATTTGGTTTGTCTTGTTTGGTTGTCGCATCCTTTGGTTTGCATAATAGTGTTTGGAGGGAATGTTTTGGTTCATGAGCCACACCAATTCCACCAAGTGGTCTGAGTAATTTTGTCGTGATTTCTGATATATTCTTTGTGTATTATGGTAGTATGATGCGTTCATTGATTTCTGTTGATGACTTTGGAGTTGATGATGTACGTGATAAGTATCTTGTGATGAAGTTTTGTGGGTAGCTGTTCTTTTTTAGGATGGACATCAAGTAATTTTGATCGTTTCTCTGTGAAGTTGTTGTACTGCAGTGTGTTCTTGCTCTTTTGAATAAAGTTTGCACGCAACTACTAAATCACTCACGGAGAAATATTTACAGCCCACTTCATACTGAAGTTAGTGCTGATATCGTCTGACAAGGCGATGAAAGCTCCACGACTAAACACCTCAGCTCAGAGAACACAATACAACCAAGACGATTCACCTGAGTTACAAATATTCTCCACCATGACCAATCAATGTGTCTAGTCCAGTCCTACAAGAGTCCAATTGTCACCCGAATACCTCAATGGTAACATCAGTGATTACAGCACTGGTTCACGTTGGTTCATATCTCCCTCGCGATTTTAGATATACCTTACCAACGAGTCCCAACAAGAAAGTAGCCTAGATTCACGGTTTCCTTTTGAGCTTCACTTTATTGTATAGTGTTTAAAATTGTGTATTTATGTCAGTGGTCTATATGCTTAAAGAATATTTCCCATAGCATAAGTGTACAATTTTCTTCAAAATTACTTTTGTAGCCTCAACCACCTTTTAGAGTCCCGATGCCAAATATACAAACTTACAACAATCCACAACAAAATACCAGTGTTAACTTTCCACCATCTTCTATTGCAAATTCCACTTCATCGTATACCCCATGTTTTTCGGTAAGTTTTTTGTCCCTAAAGTATTTTTGATAGATTCATTTTTTTCTTAGACATCCACCCCAATGCCAACAGCTCTTCATCAGCCTCCTGCATTACCAGGTGGTTTCACTCAAACCATCAATATGGTTAATCCTTTGACGCCTCCTTTTCCACGAACGGATGTTTCTATTCGACAAACAGTTAACATGCCTCCTTCGCAACCGAATAATATATCTAATGCAATCGAGTCACGATTTGTTTCAAATAATCTACACCCTCCTGTCTTCTCATCTACTGTATCTTCACAACAACAATCTCATTTACCTGGTAACACTGGTTTTCCACCTTCTAACAATATTCTCCAAGCTTCGTTTCGTGCTGGTAATCCTTTGGTCACACCAAATTATTTATCTTTGAATACCAGTCAAATTCCTCGACAATCTATTTGGCCAAATCAATCAATGCACAATCCAGCTTATCAAAATCTCCAGCCAGGATATCCTCAGGGATTATCACCGATGCAACAACCCAGAGGAGTTGGTAGTATTCAACAATCTCAGTCAAATACACCTCCTCCAAGTGCACTGAACTATCAGCAAACGGCTTTCCATGTGAATAATTATCCGTTAAATCCTGGCCACATTCCAGTTGGATCACATTCGTATATGCTTCAGCCTAATCAGAATCAGTATACACATACAGTTCAACAACCTACAAGTATATCGACACAATTTACACCACCGACAAATGTACCTCAAGCTTATCAAGGCACTCGTTCCCTTGAAAGTAGTAATAATACTACTACAGTTGGACAGACAACAAACCCTCCATCTACAATGTCTGATCAGAAATCACCTCTACAAGTCTTAGATACTAATAATGATGTGTGTTCATCATCAAACATGAAATCACTTTCTCCCATTCAACCTCAAGTTTTAACTAAAGTGAGTTTTTACTTACTTCGTTTACTTATGTGTGTGATAGTTGTCAAAAATTTGGATTCAGTGAAGTATGCGATGTAATTGTTCGTGTTGTAGACTGACTATTAGTTGAGGTGGATTTTAAGAGCACAAAGAATACTGATGATTGATGTTGGCTAGTAGTGGGATCATGAACGGACGTTTCTTTCTTGTTCGGGGACTTCTCAGCCGAATGTGTACCTGCACCGCAGTGAGTGATATTGTTCCGTCTAGGACTCGAATCCAAGACTAATCACTTCAAACGTCAGAGTATACATGTTCAAGCCATCTCAGTCGATGGAGATTCACAACTTCATCAATCTATATTCCTGTCCTGCTTTGGTACTCTTCGACTGACGTCAAGTGTTCACACGGTGATTTCACTAAACGTGACCAGTACTATCAAGACACCTATAGTCGAAACTCAGTGATCGCTTCATGTCTTCTTCTTTCAATAGCCATATCTCGCACCGCACAACAAACCATGGCTCAGTATATTCATCGTTTGATAGATAGTCGGATATCTCTCTAGTCGGCGCCACATGTGACGCAAATCGGCAAATGCCACACGAACCTTCTGTATCCGAGCTCAGATTTCGTCAGCAACCAGCCTGTTTGACTGGCTGTGATGCAAATTCCTAAGTCAATGAAGTAGTCGACTCATTCTATCACTACCCTAATAGTTCGATAATGCATCAAAACATTGCAAACTTTAGATTCTCGTAGTGATTAACGCTCTCATTGCTGAATCTTAGTGGATTGAAATCAGGATACTCATTTTTTTAATAAGATCATAATAGTTTGTTTGGTTGTGGCTAACAGAAGAATCCAGGACGCGTGTTTTATCCTACTTGGGACTCGTCAGCTGGATGTACCTGCACCTCAGTGAATAATATTGTTCCTACTGAGACCTCCTACTCATCGCTTCAAATGCCAAGGCGTTATCCACTATGCCACGAATAGTGAGATTGAACTTCAAACTAATAGGCTGGATGGTAAAACATTTGGTGTGAAACTTGAAGGTCCTGAGTCCGATTCCTGGTGTGGGTTTTGGGGTACACACTACTGAGGATGCCCATGATGAAACAAAACATCTGTAGCAATGGTAATCTTCACTCATGAACGCAAATAGAATATCAACATTCCTGAAAGTCACTGGATACTCACATTTCCTACCAACAATATTGCACAGTGGGATGTAGTTTTATAACCTGTAATAAATGAATTGAAATTCTGATACTTAATCTAATTGATTGTTATATAAACTGCTCATGTTTGTTATTAAGATGATTATTGAACTTTTTCTTTAAAGGCTGATTTCGATGCTAAACGTAGAGAGGAACGATTACGTGAAGCTTATTCATTGAATTCAACTTCTCAGACAACATCTATTCCTTCATTGAATATTAAAGAATCATCTTCAAATGAAATGAAATTATCAACAAATTCAGAAATAATTCATGAAGAAGATAATAATAATTCATACTCAAATTCAACATACCTTGATCAAACTACTAATGAATCTTCAATAGTAACTGATTCTATCAAGGATCATTCAATTTCTCAATGTAAATTTACTTCACCTGAAGGTTTATCTGATCCTCTTGTATTGAATCGATTTATTGCTTCAGCTGAACTTCTTTTAACTTGGCTTGAAAATCCAAATGAGCTAGTTCCTCTTTCTACTACTACTACTACAGCACCATCATTAAATTCACAGACAAATTCTATAACAAGATTAAATAAAGCTTGGCAAAAAGTACAATTATTAGCTAATGATTTTTCAACTTCTGTATACTTTAATGGTAAACGACCAACACAAGCAGCTGCTTTATGTTGTCCATCAAAAAATCGTAGTCAAGAGTTTGTTCCATTCGATGTTAATCGTGTTATCTTATCGTCATCATCATCATCATCAATGAAAAATGATTATATCAATGCAAGTTATATTGATTTTCAGAATAATTTAGGTGAATGGTGTCCACGATATATTATAACACAAGCTCCATTACCTAAAACTGTTATCGATTATTGGACAATGATACTTGAACAAGGTTGTGAAGTAATAGTAATGTTAATTCCATCACGTATGAATACAACTGTTAACTCGTTTACTATGTCTAAATCATATGGTGAAGGTGGATTCGGTGATGATAATGATCCATTACGTGTACCAATACATTTACCAATGAATAAACCTGGCTCTAGACTATCTTTACCTGGTAGTAGTTTAGAAATTCGTCTTCAAGCAATCAAAGAATCACATTTAGATAATAATGATTCCAATTCTCTACAACAACAACAACAACAATTTTCATGGACTGAAAGAATTCTAACAATACAAAATTTGACACCAAAGTTACGCGTAGTCTAGTTCATTTATCATATCATCATCAATTTCCTTTAGATATTCCACTAGAGAGTAATTTATCCTTTGAAAGTAGTGTTGTACAACTAGTTGCTTTCATTAATCATGTTCATACTTATTATAAACAACAAAGAAATTTACTTCGACCCATTGCAATTGTCTGTGAATATGGTGCAGGATTAAGTGGTATATTTGTAACTGCATCAGTTGGTATACTACATACAGAAATGTTAGGACGAATGGCTGATGTATTCACTATAGCTGGTTATCTATGTCAACAACGTCGTGGTGTATTAAACAATTCATCTCAATTATATGCTGCTGCTCGATTGATTGGTTATTCTGCAATAGAGATAGCAGCTAGAAAAGATGTTATCATTGGTCCAAGACGTCGTCCATCAATGAAATCTGAAAATAATACAAAGTTAGACACAACAATACATCATCTTTCACATCCTGTTAATACTAATCCACTAGATAATATTTTTTCTGACAAATCTCTACGATTAGATGACTTAATATCTGTGGTCGATAAATGGTCAGTAAAGAATGAAGTTGAATCAGTTTGCTGTAATTCAAAGACTGAAGAAAGTTCTAAGGATTCTTATTCCAAAAATGATTCTGATCTGTCTACACCAGAGGTAAGTTCTACTCAAGCAATATCGCATTTCTTAAAAAGTAAGTGGTTGTTTACCAGCCATATGGTTCATTTTAATTGACCTAGTAAGGTTCTGGATTCAATCTCTGATGGGGTCATGGGTGCGCACTGCTGTGGAGCCCCATACTAGAACGAAACAGGTGTCCAGTGCTCTAATTAATGCCAGCTCATGATGAATACCAATCTGAAATCAATAAATGAGTCCCCACTGGACAACTCGAGTAGAATTGAATAACCGATGCATTCGACCGATTGGAAGTTAGATTGTGATATTGTCTTTTAGCAAGTGATTGCCTGCTGGAACTGTGCCTAGGTAACTACCTTTCTCTTACTGACGTTAACTTCACGGTAGACGCAAATAAACTATTGCTATGAGTTATCACTGGAGCGGGTCAATAGAAAGTTGCCGATCTTTCTGGAGTACTCGTAGATACAACGATCACGCGCTTGTTTGAGTACGTGTGTGTCTGCGCCTAAATAATCATACAAAGCCCCAACGGTAAGACCATTGCGAGTGCAGCTCGATGGCGAGAATACTAAAGCTGCTTTCAATGAGGAACTGGCTAAGCAGCTATTGAAACAAAATAACACCACTCATTCGTAAGAAGCCTGGTGTCATTCTCAGTCAGTTATGAAAACATTGTTGAGGATCGTAAGTGCCTTTTAGAGAGTGCTTAGAAAGTGTTAGTGGATCTTAACAGCTTATTCTGAATTAATTAATGCGTGTGAACGGATTCTTGCTAGGCAGAAGCACAACGAGGGGTGAAAGTAACTCACATGTGGTTTGACGAGAAGTCTACACAATCACTAAGCAGTGTGGGGGGGTGGGGGTGGGGGTCAGCGATCATAGGTAACAGCAAACATTTCCTCAAAGTGATCAAGGAAACCAGGTAAAAAGGGTCAGTGGTCAGGGAAACAGTAGGGGAAATCGATGGATCTGAGATTCACTCGCAGAAGAGACGACTGCAACGATGAATGTGGCGCTTCGGGGAACAGTTCAATTAGAGTCTGTCTACTATTCCGCTACCCAGTATCCAGTTGAATTCTGACTGGAAGAATGGAACAAGGCATCTAGCACTTTCAAACAACTGTAAGTAGCTTGAAACCAGGAATGTCAGCAGCACAAATATACTAGTCTCATGGGTATTTAGCGATGATGGTAAATAATTTTCGATTGTATTAGATGTAGTATTAGCTAACGTATGGAAACCACACTACTTATCATTACTCCTTGGAGTTTAGTTGTTCCTTGTAGCCTATTGCGCATATGTGTATGAGGTTGTGGATCTCCTATTGTGTAGTTCACTTGCGATGGTAAGGAAAGTTGGACTAGGTTGAAAGAGCAGGGTCAAGGTGGCTAGACTAAGACATGACACCAGTTCATGTAGTCCCTGACTGTTGTTCTGAGCAGTGTAAGGAGGATATAGAGTATATGGATATGGTTCCGGAGACCATATGAATCTGTGGTTGATAACTTTTGGCGAAATGGCTAAACATCGGTGACAATGCTGCAGATGTATTTACTCCTTAATGTCTTCTAACCGTTATGCCCCATTTGTTTATTCTCTCATACAAATTTGCCTTTTCTATCCACCCGTTCTTTATATACTCACCATCATCATCATCAACATAGGACCAGGCATTGCTGAGTAACGGTCCAACTTGCCACGGCTCATATCGGTACATCAAGTAAAAAGGTAATGAAGTGCAAGATGAAGATAAGAAAATTCAGTCAAAAGAAATATAAAGTACTAAGAGAGAGAACTGTGAGGAATGAGAAAATGGTGAGATTCGCTATAGCGTTAAGATGAGGATAATGTGTGTAAGGATACATCTGCGCCACTGACTTCGATTCTGAGCCATATCGCGAAGAGTCTCCAACAACTGGTTTCTCTTGTCCTGCGGACCCCAACCGGCTAGTCTGTGTCGCCCCATGGTCCAAACAAAAAGTCAACGACTTCATGCATTGGTTCTATGTTTTAGTTTGGCCGAGAGAGCCAAGAGCCTTTTCACAACCTGAACCTACTTCGGCCAACATTGTGTGATTAGGTAATTGGCGACTAGGCATACGTAGTACGTGTCCCAACCAGTGATCTCAGTCGATGAAGGTTCACAACCGTGTCAACCGACTTACCTCTTCTCCCTGATACTCTACACCTGACGTCTGTGTTAGTCACGTGGTGACACCACGGAATACGGTCTGGTCTATACTACGAAGGCAATGGTGGTCAAACACTTCAAGCCTTTTCATGTCTTCCACCTTCGATGGCAATGTTTCACAAAAATACAGTAGAAGAGAGCGGAGTGCTGTGTAGGTGCAGTACACGTGACCCTTAATAGACAATCGGATATCACGGTGGCGTCGCAGGTGGTGTAAGTTGACGAAAGCCAACGGGGCGTTTTATATTTGTGCAGAGATTTCATTGGGCACTGAGCCACCTTGGTAGTGCTGATACTACTTCCCATGTAGGTGAAGTGGTCGACACACTGGATCACTACAGTGTGTATTGTTAGTCGTGGTGGGGCACCGTTGGAGACCAATCGTGTAGCAACAATTTGGATTTTGGTGGTGGGGAACGCATCCTAAACATTCTCAAATTGCTACTCAACGTGTCAACGTCTAACGAAACTTCTCCTGTGATTAGGTCAACCTCGGTGTAATCAGGTGACGCGAGAGAGAGAGAGACCTCCATAAGAATATCTATGATAAAATTGAATCAGAATGAAAATAATGGGCATCCTTGACGGATACCACTAGATGAATACAGCTGCCCGGATATAGCTTACCATCGCATCTTTATATACTACTACCAATACACTTATGTGAAAGATTCTAAATTGATTTTTTTTTCTGAATACTTTTGTTTATTATATTCTTCATATCATTACCAAGTGGATGATCTTGACTGCATTAATATTTTCTTCTTATAGAATTCTTTAAATACTACTGATGAAAAGTTAACCAATAGTAATAACAGTTTTACTAATCGACAACATGATATAAATATACCAGAACATTTAGTAGATTTAAATTATTTAACTAAAAATTCTTTGAATAATAAACGTTTCACTCGTCAAGATTTTGAAAATTCACGATCATCATCATCTCAATTATATTGATTCATTGATAACGAAACTTGATGACGATTGATTTTAAAAAAAAATTGGATTACTTATGAAAATTGAATGAATACAATAATTATTTAATTTCACTGATCTTTATATGTTTAATTTGAAACATGTTACTTCAGTTTCTCTCCTTCTTTTCTTTTTTTGGAGGGGGGGGGGGTTAATTCTGATTATACACCTTTTTAAAGATTATGTTTGATTTTTGAAGAAAAAATAAGCATACAAATACAACAGTATTTTTATGCTCTCCAACTTGTGTTTTCTTTTTACTAACATGTAATTAGTGTTTTCTGATTGTTGGCAATCAATAATATTAGTAGGGTGTATTTATAATCATCTTGATGAAATATGTTCGGGGGTGTCTTTGAACTTTAGAGTCATGTTGTGACTGTGATTTCCTTGAGACACGCTTAACTTCTAACCAATAATTTACAGGTTGGGACTTTATTCTTTCTGTTTCAGCTTTTATGTGATTGGTTGATGATAACCAGTGGTGTGTTTTATTCATCGTGGTGATTAGTGGTGAAATCTAGGATGGGTATTTTGTTTTATTTGGGACTCGTCAGGTGGATGTAGATGCACCCTACTGATAGTCGAATCATCAGGTCAGTGAGACGCGATAGTCACCTATTGTAAAACGGGTATTAGTTATTATCACTTATTGATGTACTTGTAACTGTCGAATTGTTCGACCTCTTTTTGAAGCGGTCGTTACTGTGCTCGAGTCTCAATGGGGACAATATAACTCACTGAGATGCAAGTATATCCGATTTACGAAATCTAAATAGGACGAAATGCGCGTCATAGATTCCACTGCTAGACAGCAAGATGAATACAACATCATGAATATCTGTCAGTGTAGAGAGCGTATAGGATGCTATAGTCTCTTCATCTTGAAATGTGTTGACTTACTAATTTTTTCCTAAGTACTTCTTATCACCTGAGTTCACTATGTGTCAAAAGATACCAGATTTGCATGAAACCTTTTTTTAATTTCAAAAATTTTAAATTATCGCTTTTGCACCATGGTCAGTACTCTATTTCAAAGTAATTCCTGAGTGGTTAACACACGCTTTTACTACATTAACGTTGCAAATTCCTGACAAGGTCACGAGTTTTGGGTAATTTGAATAGTCTTCTCAGAGGCGATAAATTCTCAAATCTATGGTAGTCTTATCTCTAGTTTCTCTCTTTTCAATTTTTATTTATTTATATACATATAAAACGTGGGCACCATAGTAGAATTTAATTCCATATTAAATTTGTTCATTTGATTTATAACCCACAGTGATATAGTATTATTTACTTGGTGACATTTCGAGCTTAAATTGTTACTGCTCATAACCTTATCAATGTAATTACACTACTTTGAACATCTGTCCTGTCGTTTCACATCGTTTGTTTTCATTGGTAGTAAACTTTCCCATATCTCTGGTATAGAGTGTTGCGTCATTTTTACATGTGTTTAGTGTTGACTGATTCGATGAACAAAGACTCAGTAATCAATCTGTCTCTCTACTTACTTCTATTGGACTTAAGTACAGCGGCTTTATTCCACCCATCCTATTGTGTGGTTCCGTGTTAATGTATGCATTGCAGTGGCCGAGTTACCTTCTAAATTATTGATCTTATTCAGGTCTTTCATTCTATATCTAGCTAAATTCTTATATTCAGCTATTCTAACTGGATTGCAGGATAAAATGAAGAATAGATGGTGGTTTGGATACTACCGTCTATAGGAAACGGACACATTCTATCAGGTATCTTGACTTTAAATCATCTCATTCAATGTCAGTTAAGGTGGGTTTAGTCAAATGTCTAAATGATAGAGCTAGAAAACTGACTAGTCAGTGCAACGACCTAAACAAGGAATTGAAACACATGAAATAAGCGCTAATGCTTAATAACTATCTTCCACAGTTTATTAAGAAATTCTTACGAATACATCGGAAATGAAATAAAAACAATGAGAGGAGTACGAATAATATTGACAATGTGAGTAGAAGGGAGTTCACAGTCTGCATTGTATTACCCTATGAGGAAGGTATATCAGAAACTGCATGTAGTATCTATAGCGAGGCTGGAATTAGGGTGGTATTTAAACCTACAAACTCACTCAGAGATAAGCTCTGTCGGTTGGTTTAGGGATCCGATAGAACCAGTTAAGCAAATTAATCTAATCTACCGAGTTCCATTTAATGGCTGTGAAATCAAGTACATAGTCAGTGCAAGGACCTAAACAAGGAATTGAAACACATGAAATAAGCACTAATGCTTAATAACTATCTTCCACAACTTATTAAGAAATTCTTACGAATACATCGGAAATGGAATAAAAACAATGAGAGGAGTACGAATAATATCGACAATGTGAGTAGAAGGGAGTTCACAGTCATCATTGTATTACCCGTATGAGGAAGGTACATCATAAACTTTGCACGGGATCTTTTTTGAGAGTGGGATTAGAGTGGCATTTAAACCTACGAATCCACTGAGATTATGTTTGTCGGTTGGCTTAAGGATCCAATAGAACCAGTTAAGCTTTTTAATCTCATCTGTCAAATTCCTTGTAATGACTGTGAAGTCAAGTACTTAGGTGAAACTAGTCGGTCGGGGTCAGTTATAATGAGTGGAACAGGAATTTAGCTAAATATAGAATGACAGACCTCAATTAAATCAATAATGTAGAAAAGCAGTCATCTATTGCATTACATACATTAACACACTCACACGATAGGATAGATAGGATAAAACCACACTCAGGTTCAATTTACTTAGGTGGAGAGGTAGAGATTGATCACTGAATCCTTGTTCATTGAATCAACACATTACAGAAATGACGCAACACTCTATACCAGAGATATGGAAAACTTTACCAGTGAAAACAAAGAATATCAGATGGGTGACAGAACCATAAAAATCAGATGTCTGAAGTGGTGTGTGATGTGCTTATGAGCAATAATAATTTACGTTTGAAACGTCATGAAGTAAAAGAATACTGTATCATTGTGTGTTATAAATCAAACGAACAAATCTAATATGGAATTGGATTTTTTTCGTTGATTATAGTGGTAGTCTCATATGTCAGTAGATATGTGATTCATTGGTCTAAGTAATCTACTTGCAATCAATGGGTCATGGATTCCAGCGTCATTTCGTCGATCAAAGTTTACACAGCTTTGTAGTATGTGTAGTCTTCATACAATTGGTGTGACTCATTGTCTGCTGAACGTGGTTACTGCGTTACATATCGAGTTTTCGGTATTTTGATGTTTGTAGTGTTAATAACAAGATGATATTCATTATGTAGATGGCTGACAACAATAACTTCCTGTACAGTGATATTTAATTTCCATTATTTGTTGTTTGGGACGATTCGGCTGGCTTATAACAGCCTATATCTTACCTATACTTGATAGTGTGATATCTAAAGATTACAGTGACTAGGTTATGATGATACTAGGATCTAACGTTTGTTTACCGATTTGACCAGTATTATCGGGAATGGTATGTAAATAACTGTCATCAAGTCATCATAAGATCCAGGTAACCGATTATGAATGGAGTTTAAACACGTTTTGCATCTTATGGATATTGGGAATTTCTACTCCTTTCAGTGAAGTGAAATCTAAGAAGTTATAACTTTTGTTTAGAATATGTGTCCAACAAATACTGAGGAGACGTCAGTGGTCAAACGTATATGGCCTTTTGATGAAATTGTCTATTGGCGGTACTGTATGACCAACAGAACTGCTGTAATTATACATCGTGTCAGCTAGGAAATACAAAACAGACCTTTTGGATTGAAACTAGGTTTTTAACCGCATTCATCTTATTGGGAATAAGTGAAGTGGTCAACATGTTATTCCAATTCACCGGCTATTGTAAACTTGAGAGTTCGTGCAGAACTGTCCTCAAGCCTAATATTGCTGTTTTAAGAAATGAAAACATTTATTTCCTGATACAAATTTAAAACAAGCAACATATGTAATCAAAGCAGATTTATTGAATTCATAAATTTAAGTAGGACTCGTCAGCTGTTTACATGATTTTATATGCTGTTGTGCAATTAATGATTATATAGAAACAATACATTACAACAGACTAATACATTGACTGAGGCATGACAACACAGAGTGAATGATTTAGATAACTAAGTCAGATAGAGCTGAGATATGGTTCGGAAAGGGTAATGAATTGATGATGAGAAATGAAAGGACTAGAGATGGATTAGATGATTTCGAACAGAACAATTAGTAGTCAACTGAATAGCTTGGTATGGATGCACGCTGGGAAGCCAACAGTGTTTAGTAAACAAAAATATTGATTATGATAGTAATAATATGAGTGAGTGATAATTAATGATAATGATAACAATGAAGATATGAACGGAAGTCTGGTCCGAGTTTCTTCAGGGAAATAAACAAAATTAAAATATCAAGGATATATGCAAATGAATCCCAAAACAACGTGTGTTTTATCTCCTTGACCAATCCTCTTCGCATAGTCATTGTCTTTCTAAATTATGATAACTAATCATTGAGTGTGAAATTGTACGTCTTTTGTTGTATAGCGTATGTATGTACTGCAATTCATATTCGTCTTGATTGTAAATATCAGACATTGGTGAAAGTCATTCGGTAATTTTCTATAAGTACAAATTGAAAAGGATGAGGTGGATGTGTATACAATTTCAGTTGAAATAAAGTGGTGAATAGTGTTAGCGAATTCACTTTGCATTGATTTACCGGAATAGAGTGAAAATGATTGGTAGTAATGAAGGTGGTGATGATGATGATGATGATGATGATGATGATGATGATGATGATGATGATGATGATGATGATGATAGCAATAATGAATCAACTCAGTCCAGGTTGTGCTGTTGTTGATACAGAAGTAATGGAGTTGAGATCAGTGTTGACGGTAAATATTTTGAGTCATTCTTTCTGCTTACTAATTAGTAATTGCCAAGAGGCATCTAACTCTAC